GGAACAGTTTATCCATGAAGTTTATTCCATGAAGAAACAATGTATTCTACTAGGAAAACGACAGAAATATCATTTAAGCTTGGGAACAGTTCTGTAAAACGCAAGTGTATTTGCTGACTGAGCTACACTTTGTTCAGATTAGGAACAGTTTGTTTAATTGGAATAGTGTAGGCAAGAACAGTTAGCTCGCTTTAAGAACAGAAAGTTAAACCAGGAACTATCAGTTCGACTTAAGAACAGTCATATAAATGATAAGCTAAGTCCACTTGGTTCAACTAAGGAACAGTTAGTTGGAGAGTTCCATGTAGGAACAGTCTGTTTAACTAAGGAACAGACAGTTTTACCAGGAAATGTAAGCTTTAATTAAGGAAGAGTTTTTTGTTGAAGTTTTCCTAAATAGGGAACACTTTGTTTGACAAAGGAACAGTTTGTAATATAGGACTAGAACATTAAGCAATACACAGTACCACGTAAGAACACTTTGATCGACAAAGGAACAGACAAATTGTCTTAACACAAAGTTATTTGCAGGAACACTCTGTTCAATTAAGGAATAGTTAGTTGAAGCATTAAATACCATTTACACTTGGGAAGAGTTATTAAATACTTGAATAAACTTAACTGAATAGCACTTGGTTTGGCTTAGGAACAGTTGCTTGTGCTTTCAGTTCCATTCGGGAATAGTTCGCTCACCTGAGAAAACCCTGTTTCAAGCCAGGTAGACATGAGTCCTTCAGCTATGCATTGGCAGCAATTGCTTTGGCCACCAGATGGTTGGCCCGAGCCATTGTGGGGTCTGAACGGTGCTTAACCTTGGCTTAGACTTGTCGTCGACGTTGGCAATAAATTGCCAGCTATCGTGCATTATGAAGTGTGTGCCAAGCCACAGGCAGACTGACAGAGACAGAGACAGACAGAGAGAGAAAGAGAAAGAGAGAGAGAGAGAGAGCTGCCACAGCGTTTGCATTGTGGTTGCCAATATCTTACGCTTGGCCAGGCAGGCAGGCAGGCAGGCAGGCAGGCAGCTGAGCACCTGGCGCAGGCAACCTGCCAGGATGCAGCTGGATGCGGACGGATGTGCCAGCTATGCGGACGGATGTGCTGGCGGATGTGGAGCCAAGTCGTTCGGCTGTAGCCCAAGGCAATGAATGTACCCAGCAAATCCCTTTACTCCACCAAATCCCCCGTCACTCGTAACCCGCTCGCTCGTCTCCGCCCTCTCTCTCTCTCTTTCTCTGTCCCGCTTTGTCTCTGTCGGAGCGCAGCGCCTGTCAAATATATTTCATGAAGATTTAACGCATTTGATGCTCCAACGAGGCGGCTCATTATAAGCACAACCCGCCCCTCCCTCCCTCGCCCTTCTCTTGCTTGCTGCCCCTCTTTATCCCTACTCCTTTGCTCCTTCTCAGTCATGCAATTTTAATTATGCATGTCAAACGCTTCAGCTACCAACTGCCAGCTACCCATTTCCGGACCCCACCCTTGCCCGGCTGCCCCTTCCAGCTGGCAGCAAAGAGTGTGTATGTGTGCGTGTGTGTGTGTGTTTGGTGCCAACAACTTCAATTGTCATCCCATCAGCAGAGCACAGAAAATAGCGTGTAACGATGTCTTAATTAAGACTCGTCAAAGGGCAACACAAAGCACATCGAATTGGGGAGGGATCGGGTGTGTGTGTGTATGTGGGTGAGGGGTTGGATGGGGGGAGTGTAGAGGTAAATGCCTCATGATGTGGCAGCTTTCTGGCTGCCTCGCATATGGCGCATCAAATATCGAAAATCAGTTGTTTTCAATGACTCAACGAATCACCAAGAGCGCTGGCTGGGCATCTTTTAGGATGGACCACGTTTGTTATGTTCGTTTTGAGGGTCACCCTAAGCAATACAGCAAAAGGCTACGATTTGCTTAGTCATGCTAGCATTAACTAACTGTTCCCAACATACCAAATCGTTTATAGATGGCATCTTAACATTAAGCCGATCAGTCTTTAACTATGACAAAATGTGCTAAGCGTGTCCGCAATATATTTCGCTTCAAATCTTTCAAAATGAGCCTGAAACTAATTGAGTGATGCATTCATTGAGTCAGTCTATCAATCAGTCACTCCATTCAATCACTCCATCAGCCATATAGACAGTTAGTCAATCAATCATATGGTTAATAAATGAAGCAGTCAATCAATCAAATAATCATTTATTCAGTCAAATCATTCACTTAGTCTATCAGTCAGATAGGACGCAAATAAATTGATTAATCTGAGAGTCAATCAATCAGTCTATCAATCAACGGACGGTCAGTCAATCAATCAAATATTAAGCCAAATAATCACTCAATCTATCACTCCATCATTTGGTTAATCTATCCATCAGACAGACAGTCAGTCACTTGGTCAGTCAATCAATCAGATAATTTGTCAATTGATCGATCAATAAGTCAGTTGATCAATCAGATAGTTAATCAGTCAGTCCATCAGCCAGTGGATCAGTCAGTCAATCCATCAGCCTGAAGGACACTCAATCAGTCAATCAATCAGATAGGAAGTTAATTAATCAGTCAATCGGACAGTCACTAAACCCAATCAAGCAGTCAGTCAGTCAGTCATTCACTTAGTCTATTAATTACACAAACAGTCAGTCAATCAATCAGATGGCTATTCAATTCACCAATTACGTCAATCAATCACTCCATCATTAAGTCAGTCAATCAATCCGACAGTCAGTCAGTAGTTGGTCAGTCAATCAATCAATCAGACCAGTCGGGCACACCCGCTACCGACTTTTGTTTCATAATTAAATTCTCACGCAATTGGAAAAAAATTGCATTTTGTGGCAATTTTCTAAACTCGTCCAAAAAAAAAACAAAAAAGAAACAATAATTGTCTGCAATTATTCCATTTCGTGCGAGTTTATTTACGCCCCCTCGCCCCTCGCTACACGGTTGCTCCCTTGTTGCAAATATGCTGCAACTGACAGCTTGCCACAAATTGCATCCTTAAAAATGTTCAACTTTATTTCGTTTTGCATTGAATCAAAATCGATGGCCTGGGAGCAATTGCTGTTGCCAGTCGCTGCTGCATCGGCAATTAGCCAAAGACAACAATGGAGAGAAGCAATAAACACGTTGTGTGGATAAGTCAGGTGTGCCAGCCAAAGACGTGGCTGTGGCACGGGTGCGGTACCTGAGATGGTAAGAGAAATGAGTATCTCACTGTGTGGGCCATGTTTCTGTCCTTGTTGTTGGCTGGAACAAATGAACTGTACAAATGAAAGTCACAGGACCAAGTTGTCGACAGTTGGCAATAGCGGCTGCCACGCCCCTACCTCGCTCCCTCCTGCTGACTTGTTGCCCCATGCAACTGCGCTGTGTTTAGCGCTTTATTTATGGCGGCAAATGCAGCGCGTAAATCAGAAGCACAGTGAGAGAGAGAGAGAGCCAGAGAGAGGGGGAGAGAGAGCAAGAGAGGAAGACTGTGCTCCCCAAAGCAATTAAGCTGCAGTGGGCGGCCAGCGGGGGCGTGGCTGACTGCAACAACAGCTACAGCGCACTGTGGGCAAATTGAGACAATTTTCTGGCAAAAAAAATGAAGATTAACAGCTTTTGGCCTAAAAACAACAGGCCGCAATTTTACATAAGCGAATATGTTAAAACAGTCCTGCTCTGTAAAATTAACAGCTGCAAGTTTACATAAGTGCATATGTTAACATAGGCCAACTCTGTTAAGATAACAGCCATAGATATTTTACAAATTGTTCTGGCAAAACGAACTATTCTTAAAACTGCCATAGCTAAATAAATTTTGGCTAAAATACATGGGCAATACAATAAGCTGCAATTGCCCAAAATGTTAACATAGCCTGGCACTGTTAAGATAACAGCTGTTAGACAGAGTAGTTTTAAGTAACAGCACGTGTTTCTTACAGCCCAGCCTTAAAGTATTTGATAAGAAAAGAGTCCAAAAATCTGTCCTATTTTTTACCAGCAATATGAATGGAATTGTCTACTGTGCTGTGAGGCAAACAATCAAACGGAAATTAATTGTGAAATTGTGAAAAGTGAAAGCCAATAGCTTCAACGGAAATCCCAACATCCAATACTCAGCTTCAACACCCGTACCCCAACACCCTCCGCTCAATAGATGATTTGCCAAAGGAACTTGAGATGCATTCAAAGGGGTTCCGATAAGCCCCATGAATAGCATTTTGGATGTCTATTGAATGCGCATCGAATTATGCGGACATGCGTGGCAAAATGACAACCGCAACAGAAGACGATTTATGGGTTTCATTAATGGGACAATTATATCGAGAATTTCGCACAGGAATTTGGAATAGGTATAGGTAATAGGTTTGCTGCACTGAAATTGGACAACAGCAATGTAGTTAGACGAGCAAGCAATTTGGGCTTTACTGGAAGAGAGCAGTCACATCTTGTTGCTAAAGAGAAACGTCTCTATAGAACAGGAGAGATTGAGAGAGAACAATTGTGTGAGAGAGAGAGAGAGAGGGGGAGTGAAAGGGAGAGAGCGAGGGCAAAAATTAGAGAATTTGAGGGGAGCTCTAGATTATTATATCGTCAACACAAATCGTAGAACTAATACGAACGGAGCATGCTAACGTCTAAGTCTTAATTGAATTTGTGAGAATCGCATAGAGAGGCTATACAGGAAAATACGATTGATAAATGAGCAGGAATAGTTTTTGTAAACGTCTAAGTTTAACTTTAACTCATGAGAATCTCATAGAGAGGTGATTGAAAAGGAAACGATCGAGAAATGAGCAGGAGTAGTTTTTTGCTCTTCACAACTTTACAAGCCCGTCAAGCATGAAGATACTCACAGAACTCTCCCTTCTTTTCTCATTCTCTCCCCCCTCTTACTCTTTCTCTCTCTCTCTCTCTCTCTCTCTCTCTCAATGTCTCTGTCTCTTGTGTGGCGGCAAAGTTGGCCTGTTATTAGTTAACATTAAGTAGCCTTTTCGGCTTGTGTGTCAGGCTGGGTAAATGAATTTGACTCAACATACATATACTTAAATTATAATCTTTACATCAAAAATAGAAAATCGTAAATTATCAACGAGATTGTAAGCGAAGTGCCACCTAAGAAGGCAGTAAGAGCAAGCACTCCTCCCACCACACGAGAGAGCGAGAGAGATAGAGAGGAGAGAGAGGAGAGAGTAAGTGAGAAAGAGTTAATCCTGCAGCAGACACGAGTGATAAACCTGGAGAACTGGAGACCCCATAAGCCAGCTCTCACAAGACGAGCTAAGTACAGATTCGGGACGTCCGGTTCTATCTGAAAGTAAGTTGCCCTAAACCCATGAAAAAGGGCCGTAAGGGTATAACAGTTCGATGTAGCCGTATATAACAGGCAGTAGAAGCAGGCTCCGAACTTATGAAGCTTTTCTCTTCCGATATCTTAAAGTCCGTCTGTGATTAAACTCGTAGAACTCGCAAACTGAACAGATTTATCATTTTTCTCTCGATATCTTTACTTATTTCAGAAAAAGATATCGATAAATATCGATATATCTCGAAGACTTTAATATCTAGTTCAGGTGCTGAACAAATTTAATCAGTTTTCTGTCGATATCTTTACTTATTTCTAAAAATATCGATGAATATCGATATGTATCGATTTTGACATAGGATTTCTTGAGCATATCTCGAAGACTTTAAGGACTAATTATGCCAAACTTGGTGTGCATATTCTCGTATAGGTTATACAGATAAGTAATGTTAAATTGTTTGTATTTCTTCCCCCGTTCCAGCCGAATTAGTAGAAATATGCATTTTTTAGCGTAGAACCTTGTGCTTCGGTATGCACACGCTTTTGCATGCCATATTTATTCCTTGAGAATTTCATAAAGTTCGGACTAGAAACACCCAAGTTACTTGGGAATGTATTTCGTAGAGGCTAGGGAAGCTAGACTTGCGATTCTTTCTCTCGCTCTCTCTCTCTCTCTCTCTCTCTCGCACGCTCTATCTCTCACGCTGTAAATGGGGTTATCTGTGCTTGTGTTTTGCAGATGGTTATCAATCTGAATCCCACGACGCTGACCAATGCAAACGGCAGCAGCAGCCCGATGGCGATAATTAGCCATGCCGTAATCGATGACGTTGTCTATATGCATGTGGTCTGTCCGGGCGATGAGATCTCCAAATGGGTAACATTGGAGGAGGCGCTGGGCCTGTGCCCGTCGGCTGTCATTGCCTATACACAGCTGACGCTGACGCATATCTTTGGTCCGCCCGTCGAGGATCAGGAGCCCAGTCTATTTGACTAAAACTACAAATTCGAACTTGAAGAACTGCTCCTTCCACTTAAGCTCGAACCTGCTTCGACCGTTGACTTGATTTGAGCCGAAGGGAACACAACGATAAACGAAAAACAATATGAGAATAGCTATAATCATATTTAAAACAACAACAACAACAACAAGAACAAGAACAACAACACAAAGTAGAAAACCAACTAAACCCCAAAAAATACTTTTGCCTCGAGCAAATTTTTCAAATTCAAAGTTCAAGCTTTCCCTAAAAATAATTGCGAACACGTAAACACAAAACCCTCCATGATAATTGTTTCGATATTTAAATTTCGCATGTGCATATGTTTTTCCAAATATGTGTGCTTCATATATTGTTGACCAGCTGACCAAATCGCACACAGACACACACACAGACACACAGATACAGATACACACACAGACACACAGACAGACAGACAGATAGACATATATATAGATAGAAATGTAACGCCCGGGTTCCCTGGATGAGACCTACAAAACAAACTCAAATTTCAAGTTTTTCTCTTCAATATTTTTTTTCCACCTCGCCCCCTCCCCTTTCCCCTCCATCTTCCCTACCCCCTACCTCCCCCCATTCCGCCACTTTCCTGCAACATTTTGATTTTGTTTGAAATTCTATAAAATTGGCAACACTTTCGAGTTGGTTTCTAAACGTGGTTATTACAAATTCTGTGCCGAGCAGCCCATATACTAAATTTAATAATGATGTGACACCAAATCTATTATACGACGATAATACAAACATTGGGGTTTTTAAAAAATTGTGTACACTCCGAGTTTTATTTCAAACTAGTTTATACCCTGAACCCATTAGAAACAGGGTATATTGTATTTGTGCAAAATGCAAATGTATGTAACAGGCAGAAGGAAGCATCTCCGACCCCATAAAGTATATATATATATTCTTGGACAGCATCAATAGCCGAGTCGATCTAGCCATGTCCGTCTGTCCGTCCGTCCGTCTGTCCGTATGTATGAACGCAAGGATCTCAGAACCTATAAGAGCTAGAGACTTGAAAATTTAGATGTAGATGCTCCTAGTTCCCGCGCAGATCGAGTTTGTTTCCGATAATCGATAACTTACTCCAAGCAATCGATAAAAATCGATATCGATATCCTGTTTCTTGGGCAATTTTGGTAAATAATTAGAGCTAGAGTCAGCAAACTTGACATATAGCTTCTGAAATAGAATATATATATGCATTTGATGTTGGAAGAAGAGGGTTCAGGGTATCCCCTAGTCGGGAGCTCCCGACTAGAACCTCTTACTTGTTTGTATATGTATTTATAGGCGTGTATACCCCAGATATGGGGCTGGGACATTTTGAACTAAGTCTGTATAGGGTATTTGAGACCGAGTCGATAGAGCCATGCCTGTCTATATTAATGAACGCCTCGATCTGAAAGACTTAGAACCAAAGATCAAATGATCGTATTGCGTATTTTCAATCCTAGTTGCCCTGAAATCGATATCGGAATCTTGTTTTTGGATAATAACATCCCAGAAATCGAACAGAATCGATAAGAATCGATATCGTTAACTTATACTATGAACATATCTCATTGTATCGTTTATTTTCAATTCTTGCTGCATTTCCCTGAAATCGTTAAGAATCGATATCGAAATGTTTTTGAACATATCCGATTGTATTGATGCTGCATTTCCCTGAAATCGAAAAGAATCGTTATCGATAACTTATTTTTTTAAGCATATCTTATAAGCTCATAAAAGCTGGATTCTTTGAATTTATAATATAAGTTCTTGAGTGGCATAAACAGATCCAAATAGGTGCACTATTTACATGCCACACCTGATTTCACTCAAAATTGCAAATATACCTCATATTTAGAGCTTACACCTAGAGCTTTGGTATCCACACACATTTCGATGCCAAGGCTAGGAGGATCGGACTACAAACACCGCAGTTAAACAAGAAAGCTGGAATACCTTTAATGACAGTTCATCACTGAGAACAGGATATCGGCTAGTTGGGCCCTCCCGACCAGAGTATTTCAGTGTTAGTTGGAGTTTTCAATTTGCTTTTCAATTATGCAAGTTTTCCGCCAGCATTTGGGGCCTGCTCGCGTGCCGGGCCATTAGAGTTGGGCTACCTAACAAATTTCATCAAAATTTCGGTTTTCGGTTATTTGGCATTTGTAAATCGCTTGAAATATTTACTATTTGCCAAATGCGGTTAACAGCTCGAGGATGGCAACTGGACGTGCCACAATTTGCGCGCTCTGCGAAAGGCAATTCATATCGGGATGATTGAGGCCGAACTTTAGGTGTGCAGACGACGCGTCGCGTTTGGCTACAAATTTGCGGCCTGACATTCAGATGCGGCTGGACAGGCTTGGCCTTGGCGGTTGGCTCACGTGCCATTGTCGCATTTGTCAGCCACCTGCCTCAGCTACACACAGAGAGACACACACCTACACACCTACACACACACACTAACACGCGCTCGCACTTAAATTGTTGAAAAGGCGGCGTATGCGTAATGCGGTCATGCCCCATTTTGTGCTGTCCTGCTGTCGGTTACTTTACTTTTCCACCGCTGCCTCTCTCTGCGCTTCTCAGTTGGGCAGCCTTCTTGCTATGCTTTGTTGTGCCCAACCTTTAGACACGGCAACGCACCAAATTTGTCTTGGCTTAGGCATTTCAATTGCAAATTAGCCTTACGCCCCCTTGCGACTGCCTTTACCTGCTGCTCCTTCTGCCTTACCCTTCCTATTTGTGGGCATTTCACTTGTGTCACACAGTATGCAACAGCGTAGTTTTCCTCGATTCTACTTGGAATCCCAACAGCCAAGTTGCGTTGTGCGTTTACCAATTAGACTCTATTTTTATACGGGTTTGAACTGCGTTGGTTCAAACCCGAAATATCATTATATTTCTTGATGTGAACCGAACCTTAAATCAAGCCGAACCCAAACTTAAGCGAATGAATTGCTTCTAAATAAAATATACACGAGCCGAAACTCAAGGCAGGAAGCCGGTTCAAATCCTTAACAAGCATGGCAGCTGCTCGCTTAAAGTCTTATTAACTCAAATCTACTCACATGTGCGCAAAGGTAATCAGTTTTCGGTGTGTGTTTCGGGTTATCTCTTCCTATGCTTCGCGTCCTTTTTTTTCAGTTTGTGCTCTGGCCACATTCAAAGTGTACATTTCGCTTTTTGCCTGGCAATTTGAATGATTTATGTTGATTGCGTATAATTGCATGTTGTGTCGCCTCCAGCTCCGCCCACCCTCCTTCGCTTGCCCCTGGCAACTCTACGAGTTGCGCCTTGCGGCATGTGAACGGCCCTAACCTCAGACATTTTGCGGCGCATTGTTGCTGGCGTCGGCAGCGCTGCTTTTATGACGCGTCATCTGTCAGCGACTTGTTTGTGACAATGTCGAGCAGCAGGGGTGGAGGGGAGGTGGGTTGCGGGTGGCGGGGTCTTATTGCGGGGCTTGGCTAGACATTGCGCTGCTTATCTAATTATGCGCCCAAATGGCACGCAACACAAAAATGTCGCCCCCCCCTCGCCCCACTCCACTGCCGAGCCAAGGGCCGCGCTGTCTTTTGCGGCACGACGCTTCATTTTTCTAACCAGGCAAATGCCGTGTGTGGGGGGAGGGGGGCGGGGTTTGGGGATTGGGGTCTTGCGCGCATTTATTTCGCTTGTAAACGAGCGCAATTTGCAATTTGAACGCGTCCATTTGGCGGCGGAGCTGCCACGTGTTCGCGCTCCCACCCTTCCTTCGCTGTCCGCCATTTGCAATTGAATATTTATCTGCGCCTGTGTGGGGGGGGGGGGGGGGGGGCGTGGCATTCAACTAGAAGTTATTACGCATAAGCAATAAAAAAAAAGAATACAACAAAAATAGAAAACAAAAGCATAAAAGCGAAGCAGCCAAATTTGCACTTTGCTAATCAGGCCAAGCCGCAACAGTGTGACCAAACGCACATAATTGCGATTTATTAAAATACCAGCTGGAGATCTGATGCCCAGACGGGCTCGATCGATTGTCCTGCTGTTCTATATACATATGTTTAGACGCTTCGTATGTTTATATCTATAAAGAGAAGAGTTTGTCCGGACTCGCTGAGAAAACTATTTTCATTGATAAATGGAAGAGTCTATATAGCTTATATATCAAATCGGACACAATCGTTGCATCTGCAAATATGCACATGATGAACTGATATTAAGGTCCACCCTAAGGCAGATCTCTGCTCCATGCGTTGGCCATAAAGGCAACGCCCAAATCCTGACATGCAACCGCCCTTGACTCACCCACTGAGCCCTGTTCGAGCTATGTCTAGCTGCAAGAAAAGTCAACACATATTGAGCATATTACCCGGCGTCAACCGGTAAAAGATCATAACAATGTCTCGTATCATAACAATATATATACATACCATTTTTTTTCAAAAGAAATTCATTTCTATTTACAAATAAAATATGAATACTTTACTTGTTGTGCACATTTAATTATTGTTAATATCCAGCTGGTATTTGCATGAGCTTTGCTTTTACACTGTTCAACATTTGTTGCCTGGTCACACTGTTCGGCCATGCGACAAGCGCACGCACAGAGGAGCCGCAGATTAGAAATGGCAGCAGAATGCAAAAACGAAATGTGAAGAAGAGCAAAACGAGGGGGGGGGGGGCAGAGCGGGCGCAGCGGTTGAGGCGGGCAACGTGAGCGAATGAGAGTGGGAAACGTCAGCTAATAAAATGAACGGAGAGAGCAGAGCGAGCGAAGCGGTTGAAGCGGGTGGAGCGGGCGAAGCGGGTGGAGCGAGCGAAGCGGGTGGAGCGGTTGAAGCGGGTGGAGCGGGCGAAGCGGGCAACGTGAGCGTATGAGAGTGGGAAACGTCAGCTAATAAAATGAACTTTATGCGCGAACGTGCGTGGACTTCAAACGGCAAAAAAGAAGCACGCAATGGAAGCAGAAGCACACGTAAAGACAGATGCAGTAGCATTGTTAGAGGGGGGGGGGGGGGGGGGGGGGGTCAGAGACAGTTATTGCCCAGTGTCCTCTCTCGCGCGTGCTCTCCCTCTCTCTCGCACTCCTTCGCTGTGTTGTCGTAACAAGTTTCAGTTTCAGTTGCCTAATTATAATTTTGCAATTCTGCTGGCGCACGCAAAATTCATGATTGCCATTGGCTAGGGCGGTGGGCGTGGCGTGAGGTTAACACAACATTGTGCTGCCCTCCCCCCCCCCCCCACCCGTCCTTCTTCCGTGCAGTTGCTTCCGCTGATGTAAACATAAAACATGACAACTTCCGGCTGCTATCCGAAACTCAGCTGCAGCTTGGGCAAGGGATCGATGGGAGCAGGGGGGGAGGGGGGGGGGGCATGCGGAACGTTAAGCGTTTTATGGCTAAAAATGTGCGTTTCATTTGGCGCTGGCCCCGTGCTCAACGCTCGCGCGGGCGCCCTCTGGCGTTCGTTTTGCGCTGATTCGCACAACTTCCGTTTGCATACCCTGTACGCCAGCGCTCAGAGGGTATATTGGTTGCGCTTGAGACTGGGACTACGAAGACGAAAACGAGCATTTCGATGTCAAGCAAATGTTTAAGGCTGTCACAGTTTGAGAGTCCAGTTCATACAGTCTTAGAGTCATCGGACGCCATAAACAAGCAACAACTGCTCGCCTTGGCGTAATTACAGGGTATTCTATAGTCGAAGAGACGCCGAAGCCGCGCTCTAAGTTGTTATTGCTGCTTTTCTGTAAATGTTGCAAATCTTC